GAGAATCATCACTGACGTGGCAATCTGCAGTGGGATCAAGGCGAGAGATTCCCGCCTCAATATGTCTGAATAGGCAATCGATTGATGCATATAACCACATATGATACGAACGTATGATCGAACAGATGTAGATACGTTGAGCCCAATAAATAACGACAGCGCAAACCCTTCGCGAATGAATCCTAGATATCCCACCAGCCTAAGAAAAGATGTGTCGTACACATGATACGTCTCTCTTGCACCATCACCGCAAGACCAATCTCATATAATCTGACCGCAGAACGTGTTCCCTCATGCCAGCCGTTTCGCAATATATCCGACATCACAGCGCCAATCCCTTCATCGTTCCTTCACACTCCGGCGTTCTTTCTGATGCGACAACATGAGAGCTCGAGAGCTAACCAGGCCAGATCACATCTCAGACATCGATGCTGGACTTGCCCTTGTCTTCCTTGTCATCACCCTCAGGTCGGAGCTGCTCCTCGGAAGACCTCGCGCTCTCATCGATGTAGCGCTCGGCATCAGCGTCGGCATCGAGATAGTCTTCTCCACGCAGCAAGCTGTACCGCGCTCCACCCTTGTTCGTCTCTTTGACCTGTGGGGTGCCCACCGTCAGGTTGTGGTGACAGTTGGGGCACTCATGTACCGTCTGAGTACGCAACGCAAACCACATCGCTCGAGCCTTGCAAGCAAAGAAGTAGAAGTGGACAAACCTGTCATCATGTTAGCAACCCTACTGATGACTGGCTCGGACTTTGAACAACTTACATATTGACAATCATGGGAGCTGTTGCGTATCCAGCCAAGAAGCCATATCCCGCTGACCCCAGATCGTCAACCTCGACTGCCCAGATCGGAATGAGTATTGCAAGATAGGCGATACCCGCCAATCCGTCTAGGAGAGCGAGCTTGGGGCCTGGCGTACGATTGTGCCTTCGTTGGTGGACAATGCTCGCCGTTGAAGCAACCGCAGTCATGGCGAGGGGGATGTAGCCGAAGCAGAATGTAGTTACATCGCGATGGTCGTACCAATACCGGTAACTATGGGACTCCAGCGAGAGAACGGTGATGGCAATGAGGAAAGGTGTTGTGAGGGCACTGGCAAACAGATTCAGTACGCGAAGAGAACGTTCCTGCGCCATGATCATCTTGTTGGTTTGGGTAATCTGTTGGTATCTGAAAATGGAGGTGAAGACGAAAAGAGCCAGATGGCTTGGTGCAACAAAGACAAACTGAAGTCTACAGGCCTGTTTAAGTCACATCACCGACTGGGATAGCGTCTCATCATCTCTCAGGCAACAGCGAAAAGCACATAGCCGCAAGTGCATCAGAGCCGCGTGTACACACGAGGCGCTTTTTGGCATCGTCAGCCAATCGATGTGTCGCTCCGGCACGACAACGGTACTACGCAGCAGTAGTGAGACAGCGAGATCTTTTGTTTACTCCCCCGAGTATGTGTTTTGGCCAATGAACGTTGACGTTGGGTGGCTATGCCGGCTAGCCTTGGTATAGCGCAGGTGGGCGGATTACTCGGGTCCTGTGTCAGGCTCTCCGCAGTGCATGGACGCATGCTCAAGAATAGAATGACCTCTGAGACGTCTCAATATCTGTCTACCTACATACGGAGGTCTTTACATGCATCGTTTCACTCTTGCTTCTACATCGATAGAGAAGGTTGCACAAGTCACGTGACGTTTACATCATCCGGGCATGCATTGCGGTCATACTAAAGCTCGTTTCCGTGATATCATGCCTTTCTTCCAAATCGTAGAGTAGCGCCTGTTATTTATTCTGATCTTGGAGTGGGAAGCATGTCGCGTAGCCGCTTCCGCCAACGCTTGCGGCGTGTGGTTATCCAGGTAAGCAGAAATTACGTAGGTGACTAGGGAAGACCCTGAGGAAACCGTTGATTACTAAAACCCGCAAAGATCTTTTCGACGATCCGGACCTTTGTTCTCTTCGCATGCGTGTAAGCATGCACAACCAAACTTATTTCACAACACGGCCCTTTTGGCATCACGATGCACCCGACCTCCATATCTGCTGCCAGAGTGAACTCATCGGGTCTTATCGAGGTGTACACCTACAAACCCTGCTCCAGTTATGTGCAGTACTTACAAGCCGTCGCGCGTCATTTCGGCACGCAAGACACGAATGAGGTCTACCCAGACGCAGCTACAATATCCATGTTCCGCACTGCTTTCGCACCCATCACGGAAGATCTAACCCGGAAGCTGAACCGTCTGCCCAGATACTCCGCATTGGTTTATCCTAGGACGTTCCAACATTTTTCCCCAGCGCGCCGCCTGGGTAGCGTTATTTCCTCCGCTCGATGGCGACTATTACGAAACATTCAGACGAGAGGTCAGAACAAAAGCCGCTTGTGAGAACTACGACCTATTCCAACGATTTGCAGTAAAACCCTGAGTGTTCTTCAGAATTCTCATTTATTGCCGCCATGCTTATCAGAAGATTATATTCCACGGGGGTCCTCGTAGAATTAGTTGCGAGTGGCTTGTCGCTATGGTCCTCGCGACGCCAATGGTAGCTGCCAATTCGTATCGAATTCTGCACAATTATTATAGGGTAGATGTATACATTAGCTCAGGAGGTGTTTGCTTATCAAGATCCAGTGATGTGTATGCAGCAACATGCGACACGGATTCTGGCCACCCCGCGGTACCGAGTATTGCATATGCGATTTGATAAACCCAATCAGCTCTACGTAATGGTCAACATACCTTCTGCCTGTGGTTACCTCTCAAAATGATAGCCGCGCACGCGCCGAATATGACGCACAACGGTGATTTCAGAGCATACATAATCGCCTAAGATCCCAAACCCCCCAAGGTTTGCAGCGTAGAAGTCATCTCTGACCACAGCATCCAGCAAACACGAAACCAGACTTACGACATGACTCAACACACAGAAACACCCATGAATATTCCCAAACCATGGGAATCTGGCCGTCAGACTCATTTATACAGACTGCCTCGGCATTTATCCAGGACGATATTGGAACTTCTACCTTTATCATCTATGGCGACGTTCGCAATGACGAGCCACCACTCGAATACATTGGTCCGCTCCATCAAGAACCCTTTCGCCCTGATCAAGAAAGAAGGGAATGAGGCTGAGCGAGCGAGGTTCTCGATTCTGTGTTTCGACAAGCACTATCCGGACCATATCATATGTTATCATTGCGGCTCATACCATAAGCGCAAATCACCTGGTAGTCGGGATATCTGGGGTCAAAACGCCCCAGCCGCCTTCAAGTACGGGACCAGGACGATATGCAAACGGCGCACAACAAACTTCGACGGGTTGGACTGGGAGACCGTCCACGAGACGATGCGCGGGTTCCGGCACTCCCCTCGGTATGGACACAATCTCCTGCGCCCTGAAGGCGTTCATCAACAGGGGTCAAAACGGTGGGGCAGTGACATCTATGCATTACCCTGTGATGGTCATTTGCTTTTAAGAAAGAGATGGGTCAGTGGTATTCCGGAAGTCGAGGATGTAGATCCCAAGGCCGTAGTATTTGGGATTCCATACTCGTTATGTCCACACCTGAACTCGGTCCTCAATATATATTCCATGGGTTGTGGTATAAGAAACGCTGTGTCTCGCTTCTACACGTACCACGATCCTGAGGAGCTCAAAGATGGATATGTTGATAAAGCCTTGAGGTGCACCGCCTGCCCTACCGAAGTGGTCATCGAAATAACTCCGCGAAGGCTGTTCATTGGGAATTGCGCAGACGAGTCGAGGTTTCCGAAATCAACCTATGTCGTAAGCGTCTCCAGATACGTCGACTTTGGCAAATGTCAGGATCCAGAGGACATTGAATGGAAGGCGCTCACAGAACGGAGACCGGGGTTCTGGAGACGCCTCTTTTCGAGGAGGGATAGCGGGTCGCTAGACGGGGAAACAGCACGGCCGACGATAGACCTTACACACCTGAAACCCGTTTGCGAGAGATTTAATGCGCGTCTTCATGCGCCTCTGCTGTCCTCGCCGTCCCTCAGCAGTCCTACCGACCTTCGTCTGGCTATGCGTGATAGCACTGATGCACAACCTCCACCATACGCCGAGTAATCATAGTCAACAACATCGGGTCGCGAGAGTCCCAGCGAGCTGTGAACTGTGCCATGGGCGCATCCGGTAAGAAGCTTTGAAGGTGTCGGTTTCAACGAAACGCAGTACGCGCCTATCTTCGACCCAGGATGATGCCCGGTCTTGCTTCGCGCGAGTTGTTGCGTCTGCACTTTGGTGTGCGGGATCCATGAATGGTTGTGATTGAGAACCAGACCGCAGTCTGAGTCAAAGGCGCACTCTATTCTTTCTTTATGGTTGTAATTTGTAGCTTTAGAACGTGTCGCAAGAGGGTGTGGCATGAACGGATTGGCGCAGGCCCGTGATGTCTAGGGGCAGCATGCCCTCACGACTGTATGCGTGGGCGCAAAATAGGGCCATTTCGGTCGCGCATCGAAGCAATTAGTGGTCTTGATCAATACTTGAGTGTTTGAACGTCAATGCTGATCCAATAAGAGAAATGGCCAGCTCAATCGCACGGCCATCGGTACACCTTCCCAAATTCGGTGATGACGATGAGACGATCTCACACCCCCAGCCGTTCACAACCAAGACGGCTGATATGCGCCTTTTGCTTCCAACATATGCTTGTAGTCTCGTGTTAAACAGATCTTCACTTGCACTACTCGCTGAGAATAGGTTCCCGCTGCGCAATAACCCTTCTGAGAAACTACCTGCATTTATGTACGCAATCGGAGTGAGATGGACGGAAAGTCCACCACGGATGTCTGTTTACCATACAGAATACGGGGAGCATTCGAAATGAATAGATACAATACTCGCGCATGTACTAAAATTGGCTCGCTGCAGAAGCCTGAAGACAGTACACGGAATTCGTACATCAAGTCTGTGTTTGCATGTCTGCCTACACCATCCTCATGTCTGAAACGCTCACTAACCGTTGGCTACATATAGATCTCGTGGACCCTGACCAAGCTGTTGGGTGATGAATCTTTTGAATTTGTCTCTTGCACAAGTCGAGCTTTCAGGCGATCAGTCCCTTCCATATGAGCATCGTCAGGTGGTGGCTGCGGGCCATCGACCACGTGGAAACACAGAGATGCGTCGACAAGGCTGACGTCGTCGTCTGTTTCCGGCCTGAAGATAGTGATCTTGCTGATGGTCTTTTGGCCAAGTTGTAATTTGTGCTGCATGAGAAAGTAAGCGAACCCAGCACCGTTTGGAGATCCTGGTTTGGGTTAGTCTTACTATATGTCATCGGAGTTGAACGCGACTTGCCTAGTAGCGCATGGCCCTGATCCGTAGTGGTAGAGAAGTCGGTTCCCGGCCACTCGCTTAGTTCGGTGTTACGGTCGCGTAGACAAGAAGCGATGATTTGATTAGTCACCTCGTTGGAGATGGCTATCATGAAGAAGTAGCGAATGTTCTTGATATTGGGGTTGTTACGAACCCAAAATCCCCAGATGATGTCTGAGAAAGCGCGAAGTTGAGGTAGGTCGTCTTTGTTCGGCTCCTTCGTACCACCGCCCCAGATAGTCTTGGCGGATGCTTGAGGGCTTTCAAGGAAGAGACCATAGATAGCGCCTCCTTTGGTGTTGATTCCGAATTCAAAATGCGCCTTTGTTGCCTGTAACGCCGTCAGCATCTAACTACTGCTCATACGCAAGCCTAAACTCACTCTGTATTGCTTGTTGTTAAGTGCTGTGCTGTACCACTGATTGATAGCCGGGATCTGGTTGCCCTCATTATCTCTTTTCTCTGGGTCCCAATGCTCGACCCTATAGCACTGGTTATCTCCGCCTGCTGAAGTCGGCCGTCCGTCGAGACCAAGTGAGCGCATCGCATGTGAGAAATGCCAGTGCTCAGAAAAGCTGCAGCTGAACGACGATGAGCTAGTTTCTCGCCAGTACCAGTCCTGAAGCTCTATCTTGAGGTCACTGTTGTAAGGCCTTGCAGCAGATGGGGGTTCGCGAGTATCTTTCATCTGACGGCCTGCGGTCTGATCAGAGCCTTCGAGACCACAGATCAGGGCGCCTCCTTTGGCTGCATTCTTGTTCCAATCCTCCTCCGCGGCATAATCATCGTCCCAGAAGGCCACCGTGGGGTGGAGTCCGTTGGGTTCACGGCTGGTCGAATTTGAAGATATGCGGGTGATGTTACGGTCTGAGATGGGTGCGGAGGCCAGCGGAGTCTTGATACTGCCGACAACTGTGTGTATGGCAACCGCGACGACAAGGGCGGTGACGAAGGTCATGTCGCTGATCGCTGCCAGGGAAACTGAACGAAGCAACAGATACAAGGAACGTCAGCAAGACGAACAGCGTGATACAAGAGGCAAGGCGCAAGACTAGCGGCTATTGGAGGCTGCCACAGTGACTTCGTAGGTGAAGGAGCGATTGTTCCACATCCCAATTTGCGCGCGTGTCTTCTATGACGAAGGTCTTGGAAAGGAAAGTGCAACCACTGATGAAGCATGCTTGGCCACGGGTTGTGTGATGCGTAAAGACGTTTTCCTAAGCTACCCAGCCTCTGGTCCAGGGCCACATAACACGCTATATGTATGGTTGACATTGGTTTCAATTTGCTAAATGCGGTCAAGGTGACCTCGGGATGTGAGAATGTAGCCGCGAAGCATTCGGACATGAAAATGCCATATACCGGAAAGCCATGATATCGAAAGCCATACGAAACAATCTTTCTGAGAACTACAGAACCCCAAATCACTGGTTGTTTCGTACCTCAGTCAGCCAGTCATCTCCTCGGTACTCATGCCACGGAGAAGGTTCTGTCGACGATTGAGCAAGAAAAATGAGGTATGTCGTATTCTATTCAGAGGCTCATCGGAACCCATGAGTCTTCAACGTCGTCGATCCAACAAATGTTCGCGGTGGCTATTCCATGTCCGGCTACCCAAACGCATCTTCATAGGGCTAGAGCAAAGGCTTTGCAGGTGGTGCAAGACCCAGGCGTGGGCGTGTACCCGGGCTCATGCACAACTGCTTTCTGGATGAAAATAGCAATGCAGGTCCACAAGCTTTATGATAGACAGGATGTAGCGCGACGTTCTCAAGCACACTGCTGCCTCTAGCCTAGTCTTTCCCATGACTGCATCTCTCAGGGATATTCCTGCGGACTGGGCTATATAGTGGACTGATATGATGCCGAGTTGAGCGTATCGCGGACTAATATTACGGCTTGTATAGGTAGCGAATCGACGAGACGTGTAGAACGTGAGGGACGCGGAGGACGGATGATCGTGGAGCGCATGCGCCGTAGCATCAGGCGGGGTTAGGTGCTGGCGCGCGTTTCTAGTGTGGAGTCTGGCCGGAAGGAATTCAAGGTAACAAGTTCAATGCAGATGTATAGTGTGGTAGCATCTCGACGTGCTGTATCATGGATGACGTGATAGCCGCCATCTCGACGAAGAACGCAGGCCCCGGGGACGGCGGGGCGCCTGACGCGTGTCTAGCGCGTTACGGAAAGTGGGGCATCGCGGTCGCGTCTCTAGGTACGCTCTTCGCGTGGCTCGTCTCCTCATCCATCTCATCATTGCCGTTGTCACCAGCAAACGTGCGGTCATCAACGCAACTTATCCTCATCTCTCAATCAGCGCTCTGCCTACCGCCCAAGCTATTTTCTCATCTTTTTCAGACCTATACTGGTTGCAGCGTCGCATCCGTTTGCTTCGGAAAACATCCACGTTCGCCCGTGTGCTGCAACTAGACTTCAGTCCCTTTCGAGTTCAGCTTCCACGTAGACATTGGATATGATCTCGTCATAGTCGTTCACATTTCATCTCACCATCTCCAATAACTTACCCTCTGACGCTGTCCTCGCTTTTCACGATGTTGCATACGCTTGCAACGTCAGTCCATTGAGTGGCAGTCAGTTGCGTCGCAACTATTCAGACCGGTCTGTTTCGATAACGAGAATGCTTGGAATACGCGTCTCATGCTTGTTAGAATCATCAATGTGAGTCGCAGCGTATTAACCTCGAATCTCCGAGTGAATCGAGTCCCACTAGCATGCCTACCCAGACCGATGGGTGTCTACTTGCAGCTAGATCGTCAACAGCTCTTACGTGAGTTTGAAACCCGGTATATACGTACAACTGATGTGGAAGTACAAGGATCAGGAAGAGAAGTGGACACGACAATCCTGCTAAGAGTACAACGTGATGTCACTTCCAGGAGCAAGAGCAGTGATGATACGGACTGGGTTCAATGACTACAAGCTCAGAGGAATGACCTCGAGGCTCTTGCCACGGTCTCTCTTGGTGACAAGGATAGAGATATTTGCGCTCCAATTCATTAGACACCTCTGCCAGGCCGAGCGGTGTGCGGCCGCACACTCTTTCACTTAGCATGCTGGCCACGCCGTTGCCTACGCGGACTTGCCCCTCACCCTGTCGCGCCTTCCTCACGGACCCTAATCTCGAGACCCTCACCACCCGACTAGCGCTTGTGCCTAGCTCTTCCGTTGTATATCAGCTCGCGCTCACCGGCCTCGTACAGCTTCCCCTCCACCGCGCCTTCCACTCGCTTCCTCAACCCTCTTTCGCCCTCTTCAAAATCGAAGCTATTGCGGACGACGACTGCAGCTTCCGACGATGCGCCTTTCCGTCTTCACTCTTCTAGGGCTGGCCGCTACCGGTGGCTACGCCGGCAGCTCTCCATCCTCTACGGTCGCTTCTACGGTCGGCAGCGGACAGGCTGAAATCCAGGGTGCGGCGGATCCCTCGTCCATCTTAATTCCCCGACAATACGGAATTCCTACCGACCCGATCTCGGTCACGACATCTGTACAAGGTACCGTCGTTCCACCGACCAGCGTCCACTATCCCCCGGTCGCCTCCAGCGTGGTTGCTGTCCCGCCTCCATCCATCGTGTCTTCGGTACAAGGCTCTCCCCGCCCGCCTCCGTCTTCCGTGGTCGCTATACCACCGCCTACAATTGTGTCTTCGATACAAGGCTCACCTCGACCTTCCGCATCCTCTGTAGTCGCTGTCCCGCCACCGTCCATTGTGTCTTCGGTGCAAGGCTCTGCGAGCCCGTCCTCTGCAGTCGCTGTCCCGCCACCGTCCATTGTGTCTTCGGTGCAAGGCTCTGCGAGCCCGTCCTCTGCAGTCGCTGTCCCACCCCCATCGATCGTGTCTTCAGTACAGGGCTCCGCAACTCCATCCTCAGTGGTATGGAGCAGTCAGCCCTCGTCTCAAGCTGCATCATCTCAGTCGGCATCCTCGGTGCAAGCCTCCGCGCCTCCATCATCAGTGCAAGGACCTGTTCCGCCATCCTCTACTGTGTGGAGCAGCCAAACTTCGTCTTCTCAATGGGCGTCCTCGGTGCCGCCTCCTGCCCCGTCGTCTTCCGCAGCTTGGAGCAGTCAACAGTCCTCTCAAGCTGCGTCTTCGTCTTCTCAAGCTGCATCCTCGTCTTCTCAGTGGGCATCCTCCGTGCCGTCTTCTGTCCCGTCGTCCACCGCAGCTTGGAGCAGTCAAATATCCTCTCAAGCTGGCTCAAGTGTCGTTGTGCCGCCCCCCACTGCATCCTCAATTCAAGGAAGCTCTACTGCACCATCTTCCCGCGCCCCGACAAGCTCAGTCGTTGGATCATCAGCCGCCCCATCTTCTGGAGCGTGGAGTTCTTCCGCGGGATCTGTAGCGCCCACGAGTATATCGAGCAGCCAAGCCGGTAGCACTTCGACTGCATGGTCATCGGCATCACCTAGTACCTCTGTGTCCGCGTCTGAATCACTCGTCGCGCCTTCTGGCTCATCTTCTGTGGCTCAGTCAAGTGCTCAAGGCAGTTCGGCTGCACAATCGTCTGGAAGCGCAATCCCGAGCACTCGATCGACTTCAGTCCAAGGCAGCACTACTGTAGAAGGCATCATCATCATCCCTACTGGGATTTCTGGTAGCAGCACCTCTACTGGCATCATCATCATCCCTCCTGGTTTCACGGCAAGCACTACCTCGGGTGGCTCCATTGTCATCCCCACTGGAATTCCTGGTATCAGCACCTCGAATGGCATCATCATCATCCCTCCTGGTTTCACGGGAAGCACTACCTCGAGTGGCTCCATCGTCATCCCCACTGGAATTCCTGGTATCAGCACCTCGAATGGCATCACCATCATCCCTCCTAGTGGAAGCAGCACCCCAAGCGGCTCCATCATCGTCCCTCCTGGTGTCTCGGGAAGCAGCACCCCAAGTGGCTCCATCATCATCCCTCCTGGTGTCTCGGGAAGCAGCACCCCAAGTGGCTCCATCATCGTCCCTCCTGGGGTCTCGGGAAGCAGCACCTCGAATGGCATCACCATTATCCCTCCGAGTGGAAGCAGCACCCCAAGCGGCTCCATCATCGTCCCTCCTGGTGTCTCGGGAAGCAGCACCGCAAGTGGCTCCATTTCTGCTCCGATCGTGATTGGGAGCAGCACTATACCTCCCAGTCCGATGCCTACAGGCGTAGGCTGTCCCGAATTGTGTCGTTCCCTCGAGTGGTGCCTAAAGTATTGTGTGGGCTATGTGTTCCCTCGCCCTCCCGATGAAGAACCACCGCACGAATGTCTTGAGCCAGCTAATTACAAGTGGTGTCATCTATGGTGGTTTGGCCCGGATGACGACGGTGGTAAGGATGGTCACCCAGGCGATCCAGACTCTGTTACAGACAGCGACCCCGAGTGCAAAGAGGAGAACTGTATCGCTGCATGCGTCACACAGAGACTCGCATCATTCTTGCTCTTCAAGCGGCCTTTCTGCCTTTGTGTCCCACACAAATGTGACAAGGATCACGACAGCGACAGTCCTAGCGATAGCGACAATGACGATCCATCAGTCAAGCCGCCAAAGCCAAAGCCGACATCGTTTCCAAAACCTACGGACCCTAAATGTAAGCTTTTCGGGTGTGGATGCGGGTGGGCGGGACTAGGGTTCGGGCCTGGCTGCCCTGAAGATGTCGTTCCGCCCATTTCGCTCACCATTCCATGTGGTATCTTCGGCTGTGACCCGTGCATCTTCTTCGGTTGTCATACCGGCCCGCGGCCTACGGGTATCATAGGCGCCGACGGATACTGTCCAGGTCCAACAGGGTGTGATCCATGCCCGCCAGAACTTTGTAGCCTCCCAGGTTGTACCGTTCCGGGCGGTTGTGGGCCGAAGCCTGGCCCTGCGCCAACTAAACCGGCGGACCAACCAGACCCAGAAGATTGCGACGACAACATGCGGACCACCATCACTGATCGCTTCGTCATGTGCAC